CAGAGTGAGCGAGCTTCGATTATTAAGTACGGCACAGTAGCGACGACGACGAACATCATCATCAAACCGGATTTCATAATGTCATTTATAAAATTAGTATTCCATTTGCTCTGATAAGCTTGGAAAAGTCACTTAATACGATTTAAATTAAAATACAATAGAATAGAAGTTGTATGCATTGAATAACATACAAGTACGCGCGCACACACACACACACACACATGTAGAATAATGTTGTTATGTGTGTCGGTTTGTGTATGTGTATGCTACAAGATACAAATGTACAAAGAATCTCATTAGAATCAACATCTTCAGTAATTTACAATTGATGTATGGAGACAGTGGGACCTCCACAATTAAAGGCAAATATTTTAAACAGCCAAGCCAACTGAGAATTCTTAGATATGGATTCGGGTTTGTTTTAAGCAGAGCAAAGGTTTGCTCGTTTTCACTCGGAAGTGAAACTTGCTCACGAGAGTAAGTGTTCGAAGAGTGGGAGTTTTATATTTTTTGTGGATTGGTGAGTGCGGAGTAGAAGCCGGTGGATTGTAAATTTTTATTGGCACATGTTAGTGACAATTATTTTCAACTAAAAGGGTGCTTGATAAGAGTAAAGTCTGATCGTTTTTGGTCGAATTTTGTTTCCACTCTAAAACGAGCAAAACATGCTCGCCCTTATTTGAGCGAAGAGATAAATTTTTCGTTTTATTATACCCTCCACCTTAGAAAGGAGGTTATAATAACTTTGTCATTCCGTTTTTTACATCCATAAATATTCGTCGTAGACCCCATAAAGTATATATATTCATGATCAGCATAAAATTCTAAGTCGATTTAACGATGAACTTCCGTCAGTTGAAATCACGATACAGCCCACATTATTTGACGTAGGGCTCAAAAATTTGGCAGAACAATTTGCATTATGTCTTGGATGGCTGGTATTGAAAATAAGATATATCGGTCTACGTTTTGGTATAGCCGCCATATAACGGTACCTATTGAAAATCGGTTTTTCGATGATTTTGCGACATTATTCACCGGAATTGTTTCAAATTTGGTATTTGAAATTTGTAACGGATACTACAGCCTGTGCCAGAAAATTGCCAGTGCAGGTTCACGTCTTCGTATAGTCCTCATATAACAGCACCTCCCGATATTCGGTATTTCGATGATTTTAGCGACATTATTCACCGGAATTGTTTCAAATTTGGTATTTGAAGTTCGTAACGGATACCACAGCCTGTGTCAGAAAATTATCAGTGCAGTTCCACGTCTTCGTATAGTCCTCATATAACAGCACCTCCCGATATTCGGTATTTCGATGATTTTAGCGACATTATTCACTGGAATTGTTTTAAATTTGGTATTTGAAGTTCGTGAAGGCATAGCCGAACTTATAGCTTTTTTACTTGTTTTCCCTACTACCAGAAGTGCTCCAACCGAAATTTAAGCAAGTTTTTTGTATGTCTGGTTTTAATACAAATCAAAATACTTCATAAAGTATGCACAATGTTTACCCAGGACTCCAAATAACTATAAAATCCATGCGGGATTGACAAATATTTTTTGACAAATAAAGAAATAATCATTCTTGTCCACTTCCCATACCTTTATAAATTCAAAGATTTTATAACAAGTTCCCACTTTAAAATTATTGCTCTACATGTTTTTGCATATATTTAAACATACAAATAGTCACTGATTACGAACAATGAACGAACGAATGAATGAATTGCCCTGGCCATATATCGCCTGTATGAATGAATGAATTAATGCGAAGAGAGACAAGAGTAGTCAAAAGCAAATAAGACGACAATTTTTATTTACTTTTCGGTGAATGTTGTTTTTTTTTGCCAGGCTCATCTCTATATAAAGTGTACCATAAATTCCACACTTCGGGTTTCGGATTTTCAATCATCGAAGGAATGACAAACAGATACTGACACTTGAAGTGTGGATTTCATTACAAATCCCATTGATATGGATGGAAATGATATTATTGCTTCTTTTTTCTTTGTTGCTGATGTTGTTGTTATTTCCTTAAATGTCTGTATTATTCTAACCTTCAGATTTAAAATGAGAACGGGGACTAATTTGCGAAATAATTGACTCTTTATTCAAAGGCACACGTCACAGCTGGGCAAAGAGTTCAGTTTTCAATGGATGGGAGAACGTTTTGTTAATCTATTAAGGAAATTTTAACTGTTTATGATGGCGATTTAAGGCTATGGTGGGTCATGATTTTTATATATTAGACATATAGATACTATATGTTACTGACAAAAGAAATTTTATTGTAAAGTGGGCATGTCAAACGAAGCTAACTTTATCAAAGACGTAAAATGGTAAAGATTGGACAAAATACATTATGGAGAAATAATGTGAAAAAATATAAGGGCGTTGCTCATAACAGCGACGTGTTAGCATAAAACACAAGTGAGATGAAAAAAAAAACTGCAACCAACTGCAGACTGCTGTCTTTTCTAAGCCACTCGTCCAACAGCTGTTAAAACTATCCCAGTGACAGTTCATTATATTGTTTACAAGCGTACAAATACATTTTGGTGGGAATTTTCCAGAAAAAAAGTTATTTGTGATGGAATTCATGGGTGGTAGTGCGATTTCTTTACATTTGGCTATCGTTAGAGCACTTCAGAATTTAAATGTAAATAAATCTTTTGTGTCACATACTATCGCTCATTACCTAGATACTGGTAGCGTAGCCCGACGTCAAGGAAGTGGACAAAGAAAATGATCGTGTTTACTTGCCAAAGAGGCCAGCTGAAAATGTGCACCTTCAGTTGCCCACCAGAATTCAAGCGCTGGCCATGATGATGGTGTGGACCGCCATAACAGCCGATGGTCGCTCTCCGCTAGTATTAATCGACCGTGGTATTAAAGCCTTCAAACATTTTGGCCGCAGACCTTGAACATTCCAACAGGACACAGCACCATCGCTCCCAGCACGCACAAAATGAGGTTCATCGCTTCATTTCCAGCGCACAATGGCCACCAAAATCATCATCAATCCCGACTATTGTGTCCGTATTATTTTGGAAAGCAAGGTTGGCACTAAAAAATACCAAAGTGTCGATCACCTCAAGCAAGCGCTTCACCGGAAATGGGCCAAAATACCGTGGGCAGCGTGTGACGGTTTCGTTGTCCGTTTGAAGGCCATAATTCGTGCCAAAGGTGACCAATTCGAACAAAACTAAACTTATTCAGACTTTTTTTTTTTGCTTTCATTTAATAAAATTTAAGAAAAACATGTAAAAATTATGGCGTTTTACTTTGTTGCGATATAGAGCCATAGTTACTTTTGAGGATCTTCATAGAATCACTTTCTGAGTCGATCACGCATGTCAGTCCGTCCATATATGATTGTGAACAAAATGCAGTCCGGATTTATTATCTGATTGAGATGAAATTTATGATAATCGGATCAAATTTAGATATAGCTTCCATATATGTTCAACCGATTTCAGGTTGATTGTGCACCAAATATCAGTCCAAATGACCTGAATTTTGGCACATCCAACCGAATTCAGTTTAGAAGCAAATACATCAAATTTGGTTCAGGTATAGCTATAGCTCCCATATATAGGTTTCATCCGATTTTTTGTTTAAGTCCCCCACATTCGTAATATGTACAACACAAAAATGTTGGTGTTTGGTATCAGATACAGCCCAGAAATACCTCTGCTTAGTTGTATCAAATGCGACCGAATTCAGTCTAGAAGAAAGTACATCAAATGTGGCGAAAACTGGTTCAGATAGAAGCTATAGCTCCTTTAACTCCTCACGTTCGTAATATGCATTCGACAACAATGATATTTGGTACCAGATATCTTAGAGTGCTCGGAAATGCATCCGATTTCAGGTTTATTGTGCACATATTGGCTAATATCAGCACAAATGGACCGAATTTGGACTCTTCCGACGGATTTCGGCCTAAAAGCAAGTGCTTCAAATTTTGGTTCTGATATAGCTATAGTTCAGATATATATATTTTTTATTAAGTAGACCAGGTAGTAGACATCCTTCGCTTTGTAAAGAAATTTTAAAACTTTTTGAAGAAGATCGTCAAAAAAATCTAGAAAATCCACAATTTTTGGCCTTAAGAAATTAAACACTTTCATCCAGCCATATGGCTGCCAAGATGTGCCTCATTCGATCCCTTTGGACCAAATCCGTTTGATTGAAGTACAATTTTGGTTCTTATTCCCTCATTTTGATCTTAAGCCTATACATCAACGGTGACCTTCATATCGTTCACTTAATACATGTATGGCTTTAAATCTTAATTTCAGAATCCAACTTTCACTTGTTAGTTAATATGTCTTGTTTATGATGTGTAATTTAAGTACCATTTTAGTTGATATTAAAAAATCAGGCGTATCTCGCCCTTTACCCCTGTCTTCGCTTTATACAGAATTTAGTGCCTCTTAAAACTTCAAGTTTCCATTTAGTTTGAGTTTCCAAAAGTGGTATCATACTTAGTTTCTTCATACGTACCGTGATCCACAATAGCAATTTAGGAATTCAAGCTATTCATAAAAAACCATGGAACGGTATTAAGCCAGAATTTCCACAAACATAGCAGTTTATCACACCTATGTAACAATTCTTTCTGGATGTCCATTTGTCAGTCAGTTATTCACTAAGCACTTTTATGTATGCCAAGAATTTTTGTCAGCCTTACTTGATTTCAAAGAATTGGGTGACATATTTTTGAAATATTTTCAAATATTATTTTTTAATTTTCCAAATTTCAGCAAAATATTATATTTATCTTCATCCTATTAATGCATCTGAAGTGTTTCCTCTTAAAGGCCAAACTTTTCAAATACTAGCTTCCTCAAATAAAGAAAAAACAATAAACAATCAAAACAAATAAAAGCTATTGTATTTCTATTCCTCGTTCTATATTCGTGAATCTACAACTGATGGTCCGAATATTTGTTTATTTTTATTTTGTTTTCTTCAATGTTTCATTGCAGTTACGTCAAGTTCAAAACAAAACAGACACGTTTGCGTTCGGATGAAAAAGTTATTGCCCAAACCACATTTGGCAAAGTGAAAGGCGTCAAATGGCGTTCCGTTTATGGCGGCAGCGAGTACATCAGCTTCGAGGGCATACCGTTTGCCAAGCCACCCGTGGGAGAGTTGCGTTTCAGAGCACCTGTCGAACCGGAACCATGGTCGGGTGTTAAACGCTGCACTCACGTGCGTTCTAAACCGTGCCAATACAACATCATCATCAAGCAATGCCAAGGTCAAGAAGACTGTTTGTATTTGAATGTCTATACCAAACAGGTGAGTGAGTGAGTGAGAGTGGGAAATTTGTTTGATGTTGGTGTTTGAAGGGGGTGTTTCGAAATGTTTGCTGTTTATTTATGTTTGTTTACTTTTTTCTCTCCTTCTCCCTTTCTCATTTTTCACTTTATCCAATGACAGCTAAATCCCACCAAACCCATGCCGGTAATGGTCTGGATATATGGCGGCGGTTTTCAAATGGGTGAAGCTTCCCGAGATCTTTACAGTCCCGACTATCTAATGATGGAAAATGTTGTACTGGTCACGATTGCCTATCGCCTGGGACCGTTGGGTAAGTGATTTGTATATAAAATTAAATAAAATAAAATGTATTTTTATTGTTGCTGCTGCTTTCGTTTGTTGTTTATCCGAAAGTGTGTGTGTGCGAGAGTGTTTGGTATTTGTTTTATGAGGCTATCAGAACAGCAAAACAAAAACAAAAATATTGTTTGGTTTATCAATTGCAATGGCTAGGTGTTAAGTGATATTTGTATTGAAGAGCAATGCTAAAACTCAGCCATCTCTGAGGTCATTTATAACATGCCAATAGTTTCTATTGAACATGAAATGTTGAGATAGATAATATCGATTGTTGAAAAGCTGCAAGTAAATATCAATATATAATCAATAACCAAGATATCAATTAATACTATTTTGATTTGAGAAATTTTCAATTTTGATGAATGTGGGCTTTTTATTTGCACATGACTGGTTGTTATATAAAGATATTTCCTTATTTTATTTTGGACTATTAATATTGAAATTATAATTCTGAATAATATAATGAAATTATTTAAAAATTTAGGTACTTGAATTGCAAAAGATATGATTTTGATTCAATTAAGCAAACTTGCAGAAACTAATAGCAGAGTAATTTATGTGAATTATTTGAAAAAAAAATCGTTCAAATAACGAACTGAGTTAGAATAGAGAATCTTCAATACTGGCAATTTTTTTTTTTTATATTGTATGATTGAAATTTGTACTTATGTGTACCAAATAATATTAAATTTCGTACAAGTTGGAATTGTAAAGAACTGAAATTTTGAAATTTGGAATAAGATTTCTATGGATTGTATGATTGAGCTATCAAGGTATATTTGGAAATTTGTAGAGTAGGATTGAGTTACGTAGGAAGTTTCGTACTTATATGTTCTACGTTCCCCATAATACTTCCCTATATTGATGATTTTAGCTACATTATTCACCGATTTTTTTTAGTTTCGCATTTGACCTTAATATGACGGCTACATTTGGTATTTTTAAGATTTTAACAGAATTTTTAGCGGATTTTATTTATTTTTTGAAAATTTGCAAACTCGTTCCATATTGTGGAGGGTATTCAAAGTTCGACCCGGCCGATATTGCAGCTTTTTCACTTGTTTAGTTTCAACATTGCCATAGCTCCCATACATATTGTTCATCCGATTTGTTATTTTTGTCCTCCGCAGCCCTAATATACACTCTGTAACAACAATATTTGGGGAAATATATCAAATACAGCTCAGAAATACATTTGCTAAATTTTATCGAGATCGGTTCAGATTTGGATATAGCTCCCATACATAACTTCGTCCGATTTACATTTTATTGTGCATCAAACGTCTAATATTTGACCAAATTGGATGAAATTTGGCACTTACGACCGAATTGAGTCTAGACGCTATTATGTCAAATTTGGTCGGTTCAGATATAGATATAGCTCCCATATATATTGTTCATCCGATTTGTTGTATTTGTTACCCACAGCCGTAATATGCACTCCGTAACAACGATATTCAGGGAAATATATCAAAGGTTTAAGGATATTTTTAGATTTCCTGACCAAAAATCCTAGATTTTTCCGGGATTTTTATTCAGAACTTGTGGATTTTGAAAAAATATGTATTTAATGACTCCCTGGCAAAAATGTTGATTCTGATTTTAGAAAAACTTTTCAGTTCCCAGACATGATAAAAATACTATTTGGTAGAACTGGGGTTCAATAATGGGCATTATATGTTTATCAAAACTAGAAAGTTGAATAAAATTTTCGCAGGATATTTAATTTTAATTTTTTTCCATTTTTCAAATTCAATATCACCTAATTATTTCCATTTTGCACTTTTATCCATCTTTTTACAGGCTTCCTTTGTCTAAACGACGAAAACTGCGATGTACCCGGTAATGCTGGCTTGAAAGATCAAATTCTGGCTCTCAAATGGGTTAAAAATAATTGTCATTTCTTTGGCGGTGATCCCAACAATATCACCATCTTTGGCGAAAGCGCCGGTGGGGCATCGGCTCATTATCTCATGCTGACGGAACAGACCAAGGGGCTATTTCACAAAGCGGTGGTAATGTCTGGCAGTGCAATTGCGCCATGGGCCAACATACCCCATTTAGATTGGGCCTATCGTCTGGCCAAAGCCACCGGCTACAAGGGTGAGAATAATGACAAAGCCGTGTTGACGCATCTGCAGCACGTAAAGCCAAGGACAATGCTTAAGGTCTGTGATCGATTGCTGACGATGGATGAACGCATGCATAGACGTTTGAATTTCGGTTTTGGACCCTGTGTGGAGCCATACAAAACGGACCACACGGTTATACCGACGGAACCGTTGGAAATGCTTCGCAGCAATTGGGGCAATAGCATTCCATTGCTCATTGGCGGCAATTCATTTGAAGGTCTTTTAATGTTCCCCGAAGCCAGAAAATATCCTGAGCTGCTGAATAATTTGGGAGACGGCGAGTGTCTGCCACCACTCGATGCCAATTTGAGTCCAGAGAAACGTTTGGAATATGGTCGCATGCTGAAGCAATTGTATTTCGGGGATAAGGAACCCTCCTGGGATACCATTCTGCAGTACAGTGATGTAAGTAAACATCTTGCTTCTTTTAAGGGGTGGCTCTGCCATGCTAACTATTTGTGTTTTTCATTCTATCCTCGTCTCTGCGAACAGCTCTTCTCCTATAAATACTTCTGGCACGGCATACATCGCACCCTGTTGGCACGTCGACAATATGCCACGGCCCCCACCTATCTGTATCGTTTCGATTTCGACTCGAAACATTTCAATTTCATGCGCATCATCACGTGTGGCCGTAAGGTACGTGGCACCTGCCACGCCGATGATTTATCGTATCTCTTCTACAATGCGGGCGCCAAAAAACTCAAATGTCGCACCGCCGAGTACACCACCATACGACGAATGGTGGCAATATTGGCGAAATTTGCCGAATGTGGTGACCCCAATATACCGCTGACGGAAACGGCCATCAACTGGACCACACTCAACGATGACGTTGCCAGTGACAGTGGTAGTGGCAGTCCCACCAATGGTGTGTCCAGCGAGAGTGACAGCAGCCAACGACATGAACCACCGGCCAGTGATGTCGTCAACACAACGGCCATTGACGAGAATGAGGGTACACGTTGTGTCAATAATGAGGACAGTACAAATGTTCTTGAGATCCAGCAGCAACAACACGATGACCTGGCACACACACTTCCAACCCACTGGCCAACCATAACGGAGTCGTGTAACACCAGTGACGGGGACAACAGTCCAACATTCAAATGTTTGAATATTTCCGATGAGCTGGAAGTGATTGATTTGCCCGAAGGTGAAAAATTGAAAATCTGGGATAGCATGTACGAGGATAAGTCGCTATTGTATTAGACCGGATGGGTAGATGGATGGATGGTTAGAGTGATACCAGATACATTTACACAAGCATAGCCATAGAATTGTTATTATTAAGTGTTTGTTATTGGAGAGTGTGTGTAGAAGTCGATTTTTGGAATTGACAAGGACCAAAAGGTACTCTCATTTGAATTTATCTGCCAGAGGCATTGTATATATCCGTTTTGATTTTTTTCTTATTTTTATTTAAAATTTATTTTGAAGCAAACATGATTCCCTGCAAATAGCTTTATCAAAAAAATAAAAGATTCCTATTTATCCTATATATTTTTCGTATCGAATATTGTTATCTGTGAAAATCCTTTCATGAATTATATTTTTCAAATTACCTGTTGATATTTAATTTTTGTTAAATTCCTAGTGTAGTATTTGTAAAAGCGATAGTAAAAAGATATATAAGAAATTTAAATTGTTTTGTCTTTATTTTGGAAAATACAGGGCTGGGATTTAATAGGGATTATAGAAAATCTATATTTGTAACAGAGTTGGTTAAGTGAAGGCTACTTCATCAACTCACAGATGAAACGGCGGAAGCTATAACTATGAGATTTTTGGTGATGGTCATCCTTAGGACGGATGTGAGAGAAAATTCGGGTGTTTTAGAAATTCGTACCAGAGGTGTACGGAAAGTTCTTAAAATTACTAAATATACTAACTCTTACTGAGCTATCGGGAGGAGCTAGATTTCTAAATTTTTGTGTACAGGTATTTCAGTAAACAAAAAGTACAAAGAGGCATTAAAAATTGTACAATTTATATTATCCGCCCAGATAGAGTTAAGTATTGGGGAAGAAGGTTCATTGATGGAGTACAGCATAGATGTATAAAATGGTTATTATGAAATTTTGAACTTGTGTACGAAAAGTACTTAAAAGAACTAATTTGGTACAATGTCGCTTTTAATACCCTCCACCATAGTATGGAGGGTATATTAAATTTACAACATCTAGAAATATACATTTAGACCCCACAAATTTTATATATTCTTGATCAGCATAAAATGCTATGTCGACTTAACGATTTCCGTCCGTTTGACTGTCTATCCGTCCTTCCGTCCGTCTGTGGGAATCACTCTAACTTCTGAACGAAATGAAGTAGGTAGATAAAATTTTACTCAGATGTTTGTTTGTTCTGCATGACTTGGGCTATATAGGCCCACAAATTGGTATAGCCCCAATATAACTGTACTGGCAGATTTAAAGTTTTGTTGGCTGCTTTAGTCATAATTTTAACCCAAGTTTGCTGTAAGTTGATCCCATTATGCAAGAAACTTTCTTGCGTAAAACTATTAATGTAGGTCCAATTTTTGACATAGTCCCTATATAAATGTACCTTCAAATATTCCAAATTTTTATGATTTTTATCACACTCTTCGTCGGAAATATTTCAAATTTGAAATTTAAAGTTCGTAATTGGTACTAAATTCTATGACTGAAAATTGCTCAAACAAGTCTACGTCTTCGTGTAGCCCCCATATAACGGTACTTCCCAACATCCTTTTTTAGATAATTTTAGCGACATTACCCACCAGAGTGCTTCCAAATTTCATATTTGTAGTTCCCAATGGGTACTGCCGTCTGTGACAGAAAATTGCATATATAGCCCCCATATATATATATTCGGAATTTTAAGGGTTTAAGCGACATTAATCAGTGGAATTGTTTTAAATTTCGTATTTGAAGTTCCTAATGGGAACTAGCATCTATGATAGAGAGTTGCCACGACATACCACGGGTTTGTATGCCCAATATAACGGTAACTCCCCATATTCGATATTTTTATGACTTTTGAAAATTTGCAAATTGCTTTCAAATGGTGGAGGTTATTAAAAGTTCTGACCGGTCGATCATACTGCTTTTTTCTTGTTTTTATACCCAACATCACATAGTGGTAAGGGTGTTATGTAAATTGGTTTGTAACATGGAGAAGGAAGCGAGATAGACCCATAGTTACTTTTGAGGATCATCATAGAATTACTTTCTGAGTCTATTTATGCATGTCAGTCCGTCCGTCCATGCATTCTTGTGAACAAAATGCAGGTCGCATTTATTATCCGATTGAGATGAAATTTTCAGATATAGCTATAGCTCCCATATATATGTTTCATACGATTTGGGATTTTAAGTTCCTCACATGCGTAATATGCACTCCAGAAGAATGATATTTTTTACGGAAAATAAGATACTGTACTAAAATACCGTCAAATTTTATCGATATCGGTTCAGCTCCCATATACCTCTTTATCCGATATCAGGTTTATTGTGCACGAAATGACTAATATCAGCCCAAATCGACTGAATTTTGGCAATTACTACTGAATCCATCATATAAGCCAGTATTTCAAACTTGGTGTAAATCTGTTCAGATATAGCTATAGCCCCCATATATGTTTTTCCGATTTGGTGTTTGAGTCTCTCACATTCGTAATATGCATTTGACAACAATGACATTTGGTACCAGATATCTAATAAAGCTCGGAAATACCTTTGCCAAATTTTATCGAGAACGGCTAAGATTTGGATATAGCTCCCATATATATCCTTAATCCGATTTCAGGTTTATTGTGCAAATAATGGCTAATATCAGTCCAAATGGAATGAACTTCGTGACCTACGTTCCATTTTGTGCAACTTGGCTCCGATATATAATAGGAAGCCAAAATTTTGCACAGATCTGTCGAAGATGGGCTATATCGGTCCACGATATCGTATATCCCCCATATATCGTCACCTTCCGGTATTCGGTATTTTTAAGACTTTAACAGAATTTTTAATGGATTTTATTTTATTTATTTACTTTTTTTTGAAATTTTTCTAATTCTTTCCAAATGGTGGAGTGTATTGATAGTTCGGCCCGGCCGAACTACTGCTTTTTTACTTGTTTTTTATATAATCTTTCTCCAAGTGATATCATGCACTCTATAGCAAAATATAACTACTCTAAGCCAAAAGTTGATAGGTGGTATTATCTACATGATTAAATTCTTTTGTTACGGGAGCTCTACGAAATATACATAATGGTGTAGGGCCCGCCCGACTTTTGATTTTAATTACTGTTTTTACGGAACCAGCTATAATCTGGAATTATGTGTATATGTGAATAAAAGTTGAGAAGTGTGCATGATATGAGGAGCTGGCTTTTGATGTACGTACTTAAGTGTACCAATCGTACCAATAACGTATAATTTAGGTAATTGTTTTGAATTTTTAAAATTTTCGTTAAATTTCCACCCACATTTCCCGTCCTTAGCAAATAGACCAAATTAGGCTGCCCACATAAGCAATTTCAATTACATGCATCTTTTAAGGGCATCATCATTTCTGTTTCCAACACAGACAACATTATTTAATGTTTGCACTAAAATCAATAACCAAATTACACAATTAGTTACCAAATAGTACCCAAAAAAACACAAAGGGAATGTAATTTCTATTTACATTTCCCCAAAAAATTGTTGGTAAATGTAAAGTAAAATACACACCGGTCTAGTTAATTGTTGTGGCTGGCTGTGAGGGTGTATTCCATGCCTGTGGGCAACAATGATTTACGGAAAATGAAAAACTACCTACCAAAATGAAAGACTAATGAACACGACATAACCTAATTTTCAAAAAACGAAATCCAAAAACAAAAAAAAAAAAAAAAACAACGCCCTCATGTTTAGTTATTCAATTCCAGGCTTTTTTGTTTTGGTTTTGGAAATGTATTTCATGCCTCCCTTAATTGTAATTGAAGGTTAACAGGCTGAGTTTGTTTCCTTCCTCCAACCTGGCGTGGAAAGTGGAATAAAATTATTATGGAGTTATATGGGGGGCGGACAGCAGAACTATGTAGAGGTTAATGTGTAAACTTTTGCATTGGTGGAGTTCATTATTTCATAACATTTATTAAAGTATATTCTTGGTGAGCATGTCCTTATGCCTTGGTCTGTGTGTATATATGTATGTATGTATAATTTACATGGAAATAATATTTCAACAATTTGTTCCATAACTTTGTGGCAAACCTGCTATTTGCCTTAAGGTAATAATTTGCTGTTAATTATCATTTTTCTGAATATGAGTCCTAGCAGATTGCGAAACTTTTGCTGGGGTTTTTTAGTTTAATTACTCTTATGATGGCGATGATATTCTCCATTCTATGGAGGTGTTGTGGGTCACGTTGTACAATTTTAATTGTATTTTTATAGCCTCCACCAAACATAGCTAGAGTCAAAACGAATAAAGATAGGACATTTTTCCACATATCAGTTTTCTGTCTGCAGGCAGATCAAGTTCGAAAATGGTGCACGATATCGTATAGAACCCATACAACGGTACCCCCCGATATTCGGTACTTTGATAATTTTAGCCATATTTTTCAATAAAATTGTCTTAAAATAAACACAAGGAGTTCTTTTTGAGTACATTACCCCCTGAAAGAGAATTGTCTATATAAGTCTACGATGTCCTATAGCCCATATACAACTGTACACTCCGATATTTTTATGATTGTAGCCAAATATTTTCAATAAAATTGTCAGAAAATCCACAAAAGGATTTCTTCCTGAGTAGTTTACCTCCTGGAAGATAACGGTTCCTCCCTATATTCGGCATTTTTATGATTGCAGCTACATTTTTCAAAGGAATTGTTTAAAATCCATAAAAGAAGTTCTTTCCAAGCACTTTAATCCCTGGAAGAGAATTGTCGGCATAGGTCCACGATATCGTAAAGCCCAAATACAATAGTACCTCCCGATAATCGATATTTTGACGATTTTAGGGACATTATTCCCCGGAGTTGTTTCAAACTTTGTACCTAGAATTCGTAACGGGTACTATGCACATTTTGGTGAGAATTTTTCAGAAAAAAAATTATTCGTGATGAACTTCAAGCGTGATAGTGTGATTTCTTTATATTTGGCTGGAAAATCATAAGTGGCTATCGTTAGAGCACTCCAGCATTTAAATGTGAATAAATCTGTTGTGTCTCGTACCATCGCTCATTACCGTGATACTGGTAGCGTAGCCAGACGTCAAGGAAGTGGACGGAAGAAAACAGCAACATCAGCAGAAATGGTTCGAAAAGTAAAGAAGTGACTTCATTGAAACCCGCGACGCAGTGGCCGAAAAATGGCTTGTGAGCTGAACATATCGCAATATTCCATTCGGCAAATATTGAAAAATGAGCTCGGAGTAAATCCATTGAAATTCCGCCACAATGCAAAAACCTACACCGCAAGAGAAAGAAAATAGACTTAAAAGAGC